CAAAGACGACAACACTAGCTCCCCGGAACAGAACGTCTTAACAGGTAGTAGCTGGCAGTGTTGTCCGCTCGTACGTTTAGCAGTCCCTGTGCTCCAGCACTGATGATGCTTCAACGTGATCGGGCGCAAACAGAATGTCCTGCGGCAGCTGCCTTCTCTCAGTGCGCATGCCTCCTCTTCTATACGCACGCAGACATCCTCTTTGCACACAATAATAAATGCTCACTTCTCATCAACTCCAATAAACACCAATTTCAGACTCCTCCCCCCCTAGGTTGGATCCATCTGAAATACTCGCTTTAGCAAATTCCGTCCTGGTGCCGCGACCATTTCTACAATGTATAGCCAACCGGTCATGCCATGAAATCCCCCGTAAAGAACGAAGCATTACTAGTACACCCCCGCGTTGACAGATACTACCCCCAAAAGGCGCCCCAAGGCCTTCGTACCTAGGGCAATGTTCAAGCATGAACACGAAATAAGACAAGCCGTCCCGTGGCGTTTGCGTTGACATGGGAATTTATTCCGTGCTCTACGGTACCTTGACGTAACATCTTTCTATTGCGCACAGTACATCCAAACTGCGCCTGTTACCCATTCACACTCTAACGCGACACACCTGTAGCTCTTGTCGGCTTCCTGGTCTCTCGACGGAGCTGGATGAGGGTAACCGCAAGGTTAAACGTCGCCTGACGACGGGCCTGCACGTTGAGGTAAACAGAAAAAAGTTCTGATTTTCATTAGAGTTTTTGTCATGATGCGTTGCTTGGACCACACGTTCGGCAGATCTTGGTTTCAGAAGGAGTGAATAGTTTAAACTGTTTGGATTCCTTACGTCCCTGAACGATCGTATAGTGCTGCTTGATGGGTAACACTTGCTACCTGCCAAGGAGCAAGCTTGGCGTTACATGACCAGAATTGGGTGGCGCGGGCAACAAGCAGATTCTAACGAATACACTGCCGGTTGGGTGTATGGATCCGTAGCTTGCGCAGGAACGCAACTGAGCGGAAATGTGCACCGGTAATGTGTTTCTAGGGATAAGTTTGTCCATTTCGATGGCGTTGTACTGCTGAGGCTACACAAGCATTAGACAGAAACGTACAAATACATTCTTCTGGGCCTTCAAATTGCTAGTTTGACCGCTTGTTGGGCAAAGTCTAGCTACGATTGGACTCGCAGGGCAGTGTGGGGGCAGGGGATGGGAGTTGGTGCGGTCACAAAAGAGACAGTAAGGACGAAAGGAAAGGGTTCTCGGGATACACACGCAATTCCAACAAGAGCGGATGGCATAAACGAGTTGCTAGTTCACAGCGCCACCACTGAATGCATCAGGGCGACGGTGGACAGAGTTTGTGATTACTCGCAGAGAATAGAGATAACGTCAACGCTGTCATTGAGTTCCGACAGAATATGGCGGATCACCGCGTAGAAACGCCCCCCTGACAAGGGTTTCAAGGGCTAACGGTTTCCCCGCGCCCTCGTCGTCCTCTCCTCACGTGTGTGGGGAGACTATTGCTTTGAAGCGCGCTCCTCAAAACCCGCTCTGCGTCCTGCAGCGCCCCTGAACCTCGAAGTACCTCTCCCAAGTCTCCGAGTATCAAATATACTTCTGGCCCCGCCATGGCGCAGAGTACCGCTCGCCAAACCATTTGCTGGGCCTTTTCGAAGTATCCTAAAGTATTGCATTGTGGTAGATGAGGCAAAGCGCGAAGTGTTGTGTGGGAAAAAAATCAGTGCGCAAACAACAAAAAATGACCGCGTCAAGAGGTGAACCCTAGAGCAGATATTACAAGTATCAATTGCAGTGATGTTTCAGTTCGAAATGATACACTTGAAACTAGTTAAGGTTGGGTGGACCCGCAATTCACTCTGTTTATGGCAAGCTAGGACATGATGCGGCAGCTGATACTGAAGGTCGCAGGATGCACGGGGTATCTCACACCCGTGGCATGATGGCACACCCTTCATTCTTGAGCGACCGGAACTATGCATGATGATGTGTGTTCAGCTAGGCTAGCTGCTGCAGCCTACCTCGTGTGTCTATTGCTGACACGACGGATCCGTCCCCGCTGCTCTCGATGCGAATAGCGTCGCCGTACCATGTTAGACCCAGCAAGCGCAAAGCATCTGCGTGTCGTGGGGTATCCTGCTTGCCGAAGGATTTCACGTTAGTGGCCGGCGCACACTCCTGTATTCGCCTTCGAGCCGTGCTCATTACAATAGAGGCTGTAGGTTGGTAACAGAGGTCTGAAAGCGGGCGTCATATTATCGCACTCACATTGACCACATAATAGCGTTGGCGCCAAATATATTTCCCGACACCGTTCGCATGGCCTTTGTGTTTGAAGCAGTTCATCGTTCAGAAGGGAATTCAGCCGTATTTCAGCGACAAAACAAACTCTTAAGTTGTTCACCTCCAGCAATGCGTTATATATGTCTTTAGCCGCCTCAGAATCACCGGCTTGGTGGAGTCGTATCGCATGACCGAGGACGTCGGTGTCGCCAGCGGGACCAGGAACAGGAGGTGGCAGCGTTTGCGCAGAATCAAGAGCGGCAGAGCAACTCCCCTCCGACGGAACTTTTACCACAGCGTGGTCATGGCTGATTCTTTCGGAACCTTCTCGTTGATGAGTCTTGGTGTAGTTCCCTGTACAAATAGGGGAAAATATATCGTTCAACTAGCAATATGCTCGTGGAGGTAGCAGCGGCTACGGTAGGCTCGAGCTTGTCGCGGCTTGCCACGGCCATACCGGGAGCTATGATGCATACTTCATCGCTGGCAGAGGGAAATGAGCTTGCCCCGTACGTACCAATGCATTAGCGTACCAATTCCACCAGCACTTGAGCCGTTGTTGGGTCTCGTACTTCAGGGTGAAAAACAGGGTGCGAAACCAACGAGAAAAGAAGCGAGACTCTACTTCGAAGTGAGAAATAACAGCACTTTCCTACCGTAGGGGTTTCGTGCTGCCCAGTTCGCGAGAAGAACTCAGTCGCTTTTCTGTGGCGGTAGATCAGTCAGGAGCTTGGCAATCAATAAAACCACATACTAGGTGAGACTATGAATAAGCCTTGAGCCTGACGATGCAAAGTATGGCGCTCCTGTGCGATTGCCACCTTGATGTAACGACAGAATCCGCCGAGCACAGTCGAGATGAATTGTGTCCGGACTGCACTAGAACCAAACAACATGTCAATTTCCTGCTGGTCAAAGTGCGCAGGCCCCCCTCGGCATCCGGATATTGTCATGGAGTACGCACATGCGGGTGCGTATTTTGACCTTATCTGTTCTGGTCCACAGTCTGGACCTTGCGGTATATCTTTGTCGCACCACCCGGGGTCATGGTGCTTCATGAAGAAGTCAAATCGCTGTGCGTTTTTGTCTGCTATGAGTGTCTATAGCTACAATCTGCTGTTTGGTCACGTGCGGTCCTGACCTCCCCATAAATAGCAAGTGATGCACTCTAAAACCTAAATAAAGCGAACATACACGCGCACTTTTTTTCTTGATGGAGCGCTATGTTGCGGTGAGACCTCAGGCCAGGTTAGAAATCTCGTTTCGCTCGAATAACTCAATATCTTACATGTTTGCACACAGTCGCGAAGATACACACGCACGAATCACGGCGGCAAGGATGACACAACAACGAGGAGACACATGACGGCACGGAACGCGACAACTTGCCAAAGATACTAGTCTACTACCGGAGATACCCCGAAGATCCAAATGACCGATGGTCGGCCACGCACTTGCGCACTTGCATAGCTCAAAACCACACATGAGTATTACCGCAGTAGCCTTCGTAAGGATGGCGTAGTCCACCTCACGAACAGCAGTGTGTTTGCGATGTATCGCAAGTGCAATCGGAACCGTAGCACTAAATAAATAGTCTTCATACGACGTCTAGTCTACATCCGGGGGTTGTGTGAGTCGGTTGCCAGACCCCACGTGCCACTCAAACGCATGGTAACAGGAGCAACCCAAGTTTGTTCTTCCCTTCTTTTTGGCGCATCCTTGCTTCAACCAGTCGACTGATGCACGGGGTGTACTGCGGTATGTAGTGTAGTGTACCGCCAGCCACCCGATGTATCGAGAACCTTGCGTGTTTGCTCTCCGGGAAATCGAGAGTGCTTCGGTGTTGAATACGTCTGGTCTGCCTTTCTATTCACATGAACCCAACGCCCGCAGACCTATTGCCCCTGCCCGACCCGGGCTAGATTACATGAAAAAGGTACGTCCGTATGACCGGTAAAAAAGCACTTGCCAACGGCGGAACATCAGGATACACACCTCTCGTATCAATTTCGCCGCAAGTGCTTTTTGCCAACACAGCAGCAAGGGTTTGGCGGAAGAGCAAGAGCACCAGGATGATCATGTGCGTATCCATCTCTTTCGAGCAGTCTACCTCCCGCGCGCCAAAGGAGAGGGCAGGATCCACTTGTGAAATCAACACGTTTCCGTGCGTGTGCGGCGTCGTCCATGTTGGTTCGGACATCGAACCGTCGGCGGAACTAAAAAAAAAAAAGATTGAATTGAATTGAACGGGATGGCCACTTCTGATTTGAGACATAAACGGCGCTGTACTCACCCGAGCGACGGGTGCGCTACAGATACGTGAAGATCCTCCAGATGAACACAGCTCCACAAAACTCTCCTTCGTGTCAATGACTCAACCATGCCTCTGTCATCGCTACATAGATCGCTAGTGTGCTGGCACCCCGCCAGGAAAATGTGTCGCCATCGCCAGTCCGCGGGGGGGGGCACGCTCCCGAACTTGATGACCGAGGGTGGGGTGGTCTTGTTGGCACCCGGCAATCGCGCAATATATCCATATCCACCTCATCGACGTGCTGAAGATGAAGATACGTGCTGCCTGGACACTCTTCGAGCTTCTCCGCGTGGAAGCAGAGGCTGGTGAGTGTGTAGGAGCGACTGGTTTGAGGCCCTACTTCTGCATGTATGTGTGCGAACATTGTGTAGCGCGGAAGACAAAGACTGGAACAAGCTGTTCGAGGAAAGTGCATACCTACACCGTGCACACCGCCGCAGAGCAAATTCTTCCCGCTCGTGCCGCGTCGAAACATTTTCGCTGTTTGAAAGCATCTAGACCTCCGAGTCTGAGCATTGGCTACAGCACTCGGTCATCTGTTCGCCTACGGCAGTACCAGGTAGTCTATTTCCAAGACACAAGATACCACACCCAACAGTACTGTAGATATCACCCCCCTGAAACACCACATCCGGTGGTGATAGGTGTACGCACGATCAACATGAGCAAAAGCTACTCTCAGGTCAAGATTCCTCACCCCCGCACAAACACACATCCGGCGATATTCAATTGTGGGTAAAATCCAAAATGCTTTCTACTAACCCATGGTGTGTTCAGTTGTGCCATGCACATCCGGCGGATTCTTTAGGGGTGTATATACTTGCAGGCTGCTGTACACCTCTCTTTGTCTTGTTGTTGCAGCAAACCGGAACACAACGAAATCGGAACCGTGTGTGTGGCCAACTAGTCAGCAGGATATTCTTTCTAGGCAGGCCGCTTTCTATGTTTCCTGGTCAACTGCCTGTAGTGCGAATGTCGAGAATACTCCACACCACAGCTTGCGACACCTGTTCGTTTTTCCCCGCTACCGATCGATCCAGCTGGCCTCCCCATTTGCGCATTTTGTAACCTCTTGACCTTCTCACGTTTGGAATGTAAATTTGAATTGCGTGGTGGTCACGCGAACACACCATGCCCCCGATCATATTCGTAGCGATTGTTTTAGACTATTGGTGATAATGCATTCGGCGACGTGGGCACGAGACTAACCTTCCCTATCACAAACAAGTTGGTAAGTGCAGTGGTAGGAAAAGGATAGAAAACAGAGAAGGAAAAATGCTGCGTCGCTGCCTGCGTGACTCTTGCTGATGCGTGTAGAAATGTGTCGTGTCGCGGTGCCCTGTACCCAAGGGTCGTCTGCAGGTGGTTAGTCTTTGTGCAGTTCTAGGCAGCAGTCTGTGTGATGTTCAAGACCGAATGTGTGTAGAGGCAGTGACCAAAGTCGATGTTGTTGCTAAATGCCGCTTCTGGGACTTGTACTTATTTTCAGTCTTCCTTACAGCTTACTTGCAGAGGTGAGATGTTGGGAGTCAGTTGGGGAGTGAGCCCGATGGGGCTCGCAACACCTCGTGATCTCGCTACAATTAAAATCCTCTGATCAACCATCAATTCACTCTTGAGCTCGTCGCTAGAGCTCGTCACCGCATGTTACGTTCTACCAAACGTCACTAATCGTACCGCATCTACGCATCATTGCATACAGCAATCATACAGCTGCATTTATGCTACTACACACATCCTACAGCAGTAATGCTCTGTATTCCAACACGCCCCCATGATGGATGCAATGTTACGTGTGCTTCAACAACCTCATCGTTGTTCTATATCTACTGCACAAATCCTGCAGGTCTAGTACTTCATCCATTCGTGCTCCTGCATTATATTATATATTACACGGGGTCTTCGCACACATTTCCTTTCTTCCCCTCGGTGCCTCGGCAAGGTTTTGCGTAGGCATGACCCATAGCGAGGGGGGGGGGCTTTCTAGCGAGCAGGGCTAGACTCACCCTCAGGGGACCGATACCTTCTTGCTGCGGCGCACCCGCCTCGAAGCGTGCGTAGTGGTGGAGTTCGGTCGGCACTGGTGCGTCAGGTACAAANCAGCGGCACCGGAGCAGCGGCACCGGAGGAGCGGAACTGGAGCAGGCGGACGGCATCGAACCGTGGCGCACGGACAAACATCTCTTGTATTGTCAATTATTTTTCCGTTTTCCTCCTGAATACAGGTGTTGGGTGTGTGTGATGACGTCACTGATTTTGTAGAGAAACGCGGCAGAGATGGCGCGGATAACCCGGGTGCCTTAATTGTGTACCTGCATCGTGAAAGACCCCTTCAATGTGGAACGATTCCCAGTCAGTGTCGATGTTTACACTGCTGTGCCTAACACAGATGATCTGGATAGATTCGGGTGATTGTCAATTGCAATGATGGCTTTGGTTGGGTGTATTTCTTCATTGTATGTCCACAGACTCATTCTGACAGCACTTCAGACAGCAGCTCCATGCCCCGAGCTTGTGTACCATGCACCTGTTATTATTGTACAGGCAGCACTTCAGACAGCAGTACGCTGTAGTCGACAAACATTCATTTTGGTTACATGAGAGACAAGGGGGATGATGCTGCTGCTGTAGTCGATTTGTAGTGTGTGGGCGTGTAGTTCAGTTGTGAGCATGCAAACGTGCTGCAGGGATTGCAGGTGTACCTCCTCGGGCTTGCGTACCCTTTTCTTGCTAATGGTGTGTGTGTTATTTCGATCTTCTGATGGCTCTAGCATTTTTGTGACCACGGACCGAGTCTTTGCTAGATTTTGGGATTAGCAACTGACACGAGTTCAATGTGAAGAAAAACAACAACAGCAACAACAACAACAATTATATACGCCCCCATAAATTATGTAGTAGTTCGCGCGTTACTCATGCATCAACAACTGCCTTTTCAACACTTGCTATCCTACTCCAAAAACAATAGTTCTTAATTACTTATTCGTTCTTCTTTCTTACTGTATCGTACCACGGTCCCTAAGTCTTGACATGACGCGTTTTGTCATTCGCCTGGAAAGTCTTGCTATTTGTCACCGCCGTAATTACCGAGTCCTGTAATATTCCTAGCGTGCCCTCAACAAGATGTTCACAGCTTGCTACTAATGCCTGCTTGGATCAATCTCCACAAGCATTGACCCATCTGGCATGTCGTTGCTGTCTTCTCCGTTGTTGCCTTCGTCGTAATGTTGCTCTTGCCTGACTTGAAGTTCTTCATCACTCGAAATATGTCCAGATCCATGTTCTGATTATGCCATTGTTTCAGTAGTTGCTCTCGTTTTTGTCTGGGTTAAGTCTCGTCCAGGTTGTCCTGTCTCGGTCGTTGTTGTCTCAGCGTATGATGTTTCACACGTCTTTGCGTGTGATGTCTCGACTCACCGTAACACCGACCCTCACCGACGTTGTCGGTGTACATCTGAAACCGTCACATCTGCTGATCCGCCGCACGAAGTCTCCTACTTGAAGTATTTAGTAGATCCTCCATGTTCTTGAACCATCGTTCTCAGCTTGACGAATTCAATACGGTCCAGATGCTTCGTCAGTATGTCTGCCAGCTGTTCTTCGCTCCTCACAAACTTGAGCGCAATATTCCCCTGGTTGACGTCGAAGTAGCCAGTATTTCGTGCTGATGAGCTTGCTGCGGCCTCAAAACATTGAGTTTCTGCTGTGCTCAGTGCTCCCGTGGAATCTGAATGAAGCGGGATGTTGCCGCATGGAAACCCAAGTTCCGGTAGTACACCTTGCAGAAAAATGGCTTCCCTCGCTGCTGTAGACATCGCGATGATCTCCGCATGTACACTTGATTGAGCTGATGCCGCCTCCTGCTAGAATGAACGGGTATCCTGTAGAAGAACATTGCTGGAGTATCTCGCTCGATCCAGCGAAGTTCGCGTCACAGTAGCACCTGAGGTCCCAGTGTCCTCTCCTGAACTTTAGTGGCATATCCGGGGAACCTCGAAGCTATCGCAGCTCTCTCTTTGCTCCATGCGTTGGTTGGTAGGCTTGTTCATCCCGCTACACAGGACCATCACGGCATATCAATCTCCCATCTTGTCGTGTTAGTCAAGAAGAGTAGACTTCCGACTATTCCCTGGTAGAGTTTCTTGTCCTCGTCATTTAATTATGTAGCATTTCCCGGCTCAATTTCTGGTCCGCAACCTGGAGTCGCCACTGGTTTGCAGTTCGTCATTTGATACTTGTCCAGTATGTTCATCACATGTTTGTGTTGGCTCACAGTGATTTCTCCGTCGCTCTGAGCAATTTCCATTCCTAGTAGTAGTTCCGCTGGTCCTCCGTCCGTCATCTTGAATTTGTTCGATAGCTGTTTCTTCATATCTTGAACAACGCTCGGTGTCGTTCCAGCTAGTGTGCAGTTGTCCACGTACACACATAGTATCGCGTATGTCGGTCCAGCACCGTACACACATACGCACGGGTCGCTCAGTAGAGCAGTAAACCCGATGTCTTTGATTCCTTTAGCAACTGCGTTGCCGAAATTACGAGGGCTCTGCTTCAGTCCGTACAAGCTTTTCTTGAGCTTCATCACCAGCGGTAGTCCCGTCACTTCATCCATTATTTCGTATCCTTTAGCTTGACGAACATACACTTCTGCTTCTACGTTGCTTTGAAGAAATGCAGTCACCACGCCCATCGTTTCCTCAACGTATCCTCTTCCGCCGAAATCGCCATCAAAACCAGCTGTGAGCTAATTCGACTCACAGGTTCGTAAATTCCTCCACAATCGATTCCATGCCGTTGTCCCCAGCCTTGGATGATACGTCTTACCCCTGGTGCTTGTATGACTATCTTGGTCCAGTAGGTTTAGCTCCAAGAGGTAGACTCTGAATTGGAACTGAATCCGCCTCATCATGATCTTTTGAGCTCCTCATTTCCTTGTCCTTAGCTGCTTTCCATTGAACGGCATCCATAGACCTCATGGCTTCGTGATATGTAGTTAGTATAGGTATCGATGCTGGCGGCCGGGCAGGTTCTCCAGGTGAAGGAGTCTTGATTCTTATATCTTGATCTTGATCTTGATCTTAGTTGGCAAAAGTGGCTAGTTTATTCCATGGTGGTAGCCTCCTTAGCTCCGCTTGCTGTCGTTTGCTGTTTGTTACTTGTTGATCATCTATTTTCCTTCCGCTGCTTCGCAAGTTCGTGCGAGTTGTAGTTCCTTCTTCTCCTTTTTGTTCTTGTTCTTCTTCGTGGTAGTCCTCCTCATTTTGCGAATTATCTGTCACTTCCCCCTCGTTTCCGGGCATGACGACATCCGAGGAAATCGATAATTCTTCCGGTTCGTAGTCGCGTAGTTCCTCAGTTGTCAGTATGACCGGCGGCATGGCCGCGTCCATTGGGTTATAAATCCGGTAAGCATTGCTGTTGGGGCTGTACCCAACCGGTATTCCTGGCCAAGCTCGATTCGCAAGCTTAGACTTGTACGTTTCGACGTGCACGAACGCTGATGATCCGATGACCCGTAGATGACGCAGCGAAGCTTTCTTCCCAAACATCCGGTTGTAAGGCGTCTCATTGTTCAGATGCACATGCCGCAGGCGATTCGTGATGTGAAACGCCGTGCAGCACAACTCGCCCCGTAGAAAATCCGGTAGCTTTCCGCCATGCATTCAGCATCTAACGACGGTCATTAGCGTCCGTCCAGCACGCTCGGTGATTTCATTTTGTTGTAGTGTTGCCGGCGCCGTGCAGCCGCACCGTCTACTCTGTCAGGACGTAGACCCGCGCCGATTGGAGATCTTCTTCTACCTTTTGTAAGGGGTCGATGTGTGCTTGTCCTTTCGTTCTCTCGTTCGTGAGTAAATTAATTGCTGCACCGCTCCAGCTTGTAGATGGCCGTGTTTGACGTTAAGAGGCACAGGAGGACGGGTCCATATGTCTCACGTCTACGAGTCGAATATCCAAGCTGTCTCCCGCTACATGCAGACCGCACCACTCCAGTGCGCCCTGTTCGTTCCTTCTGCGATCGGCCTAGCAGGCTGTCCAGCTGATTTTTCTTTCGTTGGCTGCTATGCCGACTCGGTCGGCAAGAGGATATTCAATTCGAGGGGTCAGCATTATCCTATGTCTGCGGAGGTAAGCTTCAACGCTTGTCCAAAGTGGCCATTCAATATCATACTTCGGTTTTGCCGTTGGGGACGACGGAAATTTTTTCTTCATGTGTCTGGGCTGCAGCAGTGTTGTCGTCGGAACACATCTAGATTCCCGTCATGACTCTTGTTTCGAGAATTGTGATTTTGGTGTTCTTCCAGTGTGTCACTTCTCTCTCTCAATGAAGTACACTGCATGCTAGTGGTGGATAATATCCGGTCTCGATGAACATCACGCTTTTCACTCTCAGATGTGCTACATGTTCTGCGACGACGGGGTGAACACCCACTTTGGCATGCAATACTCGGGCGAGGTGGGTGGTAAATGTGCATGTTTTCAGGTTTGCAAAATGTATCGAAGTCTGCCTGACAATTTAGCTCCTGTTGAACTACCCCAACACAAAGCAACAATGGCCTGAAAGGTTGGAGCAACAGGTAGCTGGAGGTCTTGTGGAACCCTTGCTAGATCTCGCCCCCCCCCCAGGCCAACCCTGAACATTGCAGTTCGCGGTGTGTCCAACCTACTGCTGTTATCGTGCTCGCTACCAAAGTGTATCAAACGATGTTGCTGCTCAACTCCAGCTAGACCCTCGATAAGGTAGCGCCATATATCTCCTCGCACATACGCGACCGACAACCTGAGCTCTTGCGGTTCGTTCTCCACTGACAGGAAGTCCAGGTCTGTTAAAAGACCTGCGGGAAAGATGAGAATTCCTTTCGGAGACTTCTCCGGGATCCTTGCTCGGTGTTGTCGAGGCCTCATACAATTTTGTATCTCGTACATTCGGACGCAACAGGATTGACTGTTGGCACGGAGGCGGAACCCTTCGTATTCAACTCCTCGTGTTTATGCAGAAAGCGTTCCGTTGTCAATAATGCTCACTTGGACACTGCGGTAAACGTTTCTTCTCCTCTATGTTCGTTTTTAATTGTTACGTCTCGCGTGTTTTGTTGGTGTCGTGAAAGTAGCGCCCCGAATGAGGAATTTCGACGCTAACGTATCTTCGTGGACGAACTTAGGGGTTGTGGCGTAGCCCTATGCTACATATGGAGATGTGTACTTCCCGCACCCCGAGCTATTGCCCTACAACTTGCTTTTTGGGCACCCGCCCTTGGACTTCCTCCTCGATCCCCCACGAATCAACACAAAGTGCTGGTGCGGGATTCACCCCGAGCTTAACCAGAACGGCGAGGAGCTAGCGGCCGGCGAATGCGACTTTCTGTGCGCGGGCACCACCACAGGCGAAATTTGTGGAGGTTTCTTGAAAATGAGCGTATTCGAGATTACAGCGTACATGGGATGCCAATACGAGGCCCTCGATCAGCCGATTGGACGAGGATCCCCGCCTATCTCCGGCTCAGAGGATACACAGATAGTCGGGCAGCCTTGGGACTTCCAAGAAAAAATCGACGCCACCAATTTCTTGTCAACACAGAGTGCTCTTCCTGGGGCGTGCGGCAGGTGAGTTCAACCCTCCCCATCATGACGTTAGGTTCTTGGCAACTTGGCCGGGTTTTTTTTTTAGACCCACGCTCTGGGACTGATGGGCCAATCCACGTCTTGTGCGTTCCACACAGCTTTGATATACCCCGAACAGTGCCGCATGGGGTACCGCATCCGATGTTGCCTGTTTCTTCACTTGTTGAATGTGCCTCAATCTTTTCGATGCATATTGCTTCGCCGTCGGCCACGTCTCGGCAGGAACGATGACCATAAGAAACTTTTGGCCCAGGTTCGTGTTTGGGAGGGTGCCGCAAAGACTGCGCCAAGGATATTTTGCGGTATATCCACCCGCCATCAGAACCATCGCACCAACGTCAAGGTGGGGCGTGTTGGTTGAAATCTATATTGCGTCTGATAAGAAGCTGTCCTACAATCGCCCTCATGCTTTTGGCACGGGTTCATGTGCATGTCTGACGTTCATTTTAGAATGCGCTTTTGGAAGGGGTCGTCAAAGATACAGGCACGACCATAAGCCTCATGAGTCACGTGTGTTCCCCGGCAACCACATGAATGATTTCTGCCTCTTCGTCCCATACAACTGGTAGGCATATGAAAATGTCGCGGAGAGATTGGCATCCAGAAACTAACGTGTAAACTGACCCGAGCAAATCCAGTCACCCTTCGCCTGGCATGTCCCCAGCATAATTTTACTCCAATTTCGTTGCTCCGTCTCGTGGGGTTTATGTGTGGCGCTCGCAACGGGGTGCTGAACTGCAGGCGATCAAGGAGACATGGGCGTCCCACTGTGACGGATTCGTGGCCTTCAGCGACAAAACTGACCAAGACCTTAACACGTGAGGACTTTTCCTGGCCTATGTGTGCAGCCAGGTAGCACTCTAGAAGCAATAGCAGATGCAGTAAAATGAGCCGTATACAGGAACAATTACGGGCTACAACAATGCTGAAATTGACAGAAACAGCAAGGAATCGGTAGCACAGTGCAAGGGTGTTCGTCGCTTTCTCCCGAGGGGCTACACCGATAGTTAATTTGTGTTGTTGGTGTGACACCGACCAGGCTCAAGATCAAGCGAGAGGGCCTCGAGGAGGACGGCAACATGTGGCAGAAAATCAGAGCCATCTGGAAGTACATCAACTTCCACTACAAAGAGGACTTCGACTGGTTCATCCTCGGGGGCGACGACCTCTTCCTTATCGCGGAGAACCTGCGCAAGGTGTGCCGAGCATCATAGCATGGTGCGGTGCAATGGTTTCGGTGTGAAAATAGATGCCTTATTGTTTTCTTCCCGAGACGTTCAGCAGGGTCTGCGGTGGTCGATGATTGCGTTGCACTGAGGAAAACGGTTGTCCGCGCTATTGTCGTCTCCCCCGTAGTTCATGTGTGTGTCGCGGATGTTGCCTTTGTTCAAAACGTTCCCTCCGTTTTCTCTTCATTTTCCCTCTCCCTCCTCTACCCCCCGCCCCGGTGATTGCCATCGGGGTTGGGTTTTCGTCGCTTGGCAACGACGTTGTAAAACAAGCCGCCCCCCCCGGTGTTTGCCATCGGGATTGGGTTTTCGTCGCTTGGCAAAGACGTTGTAAAACAAGCCAATTCACTTCGTGAACTCGGCAACCAGGTTACCG